GCCCAGTCAATAGCTCACTGGTGGCAGCAGTGTTCAGAGAGCCTGCCATGTGGAGCCCCGGCAGGTGTTTCTTGGGCTGAATGTCAGCACCTCTCACCTCCCCAGTTTACAGAGCAGCTCACTTTGTCCTCCAGGTCCCAGCGCACTCCACAGCACCCTCGCCACGGAAGTCAGCATTAGCACGCCTTTTTGGTCCAACGCAGACTTAAGGATGCCTACATCAGATTTCAGACGGCTTTGGATAATCTCAATAACAATTTGATTTTTTTTTTAAAGTTCTCAGATGATCCACGCCATCTCTTGCTTTCCTTTTCAGAGATGCCTCTACCTTAAGACAATACAATCCTACTCCTCTGACTATATAAACCAGCCTGTTCATTCCCTTGGCCCTAAGGTCTCCTCAAAACAGCACAGATCCAGTAAAATACTGCTGATGGTGTGCATCCAAAATACTGATGGGATGGCTTTACCTCGAACACATCACAAGGTATTAGAATATTCTTTATAAAACTTCAGTTAATCCCATCAATATTTTCAACTCCACTCTTAGCGGCACTGTACATTGAGCAGCGAATTTCAGAGCACCACGCCCATTACCAACAACTCCTTTCTTAAAGTATTAGTTCAGACTAGCCCAGAGGACTACAGTTTATTACACTTTCTTCTAGTGCATGTTTTATAATAAGTAAAAATAATTTTGATTTTCAGTTATTTACTTGACTAGTCTCAAGTCTTTTAAGTTTTGATCTTTCAATAATTCTAGAGCTTCACCTTCAGTAGCAGAAGATGCGTAAGGGCTCTTGCATATCTACTAAAACAAAGGAAAAAGCCTCAGAGAAACTACAAACTATGTTCTCCTTGTCTCTTTAATTTGTAAATTTAAAGAACTTTAAACATAATTTGCTCTGCAATACAAGGACTTTTTTCGTCCACATAAAGATGCCAGAATGGAGATTTCCTGCTGCAGAACACCACACTCTGCTTCCCAGTGGTGCGCTGTGCTTTCCAGGTGGTCGTTAATGGGACACCTTGGAGACGCTAATGGCACCAGCTTATTTACACTGCCTTTGACTCAGGTAGGGGGAGATAAAGCAGCAATATAATTTTACGATGAAAATTTGAGTGCGAATAAACACTATGGTGCATAGCATTTGAACACAGATGCCACCAAGATTCAGACTGGGATGATTACAGGCTTTCGAAGTATATTTATGGCTATAGTTGATGCAGAAATATGCAACAGCTCATCTTTAAAAAAATAAAAAATTTGGAAACTTACCCACCAACTGCAATGTAGGAAGCAATTTGCTTTGTGGACTTGAGATTTTGGGATAAAATCTGATACCATTATTGTGATATTTTTCCAATAGCAACCATACAGACAAAAACAAAAAACGGTTTTAAAAATAGATGTTCTGTGTTCTTTTTCTCTTGGCCCCATGCAAGCTTAACATCTATTGGTAAAGAACCTTATAAAACAAGACAATTAAAGCATCAATTGCGTAAGGGCAAAATATGAGGTGAATGCTGGCATTTTGTCACAGCTTTAGTTACATATTTGTAAACTGAGTTTAGGCTTTTAACCCGGCCTCTTTAAGAGCACACCGATCTTGTTTCTCGGTTTACACACATGGACACACATCCTTATGAGTTATTTTACTTAACTGGATCAGTTTGACCCAGGCCTGTCTGAAAGATAGTGTTCAAAGGTGAAAATCCACACATTTCATAGGCTTGAGAGGGCAGAAAAAAAATCCATCAGTGCCTAGACAAGAAGCTGCACCTCGAGCTCACACGCTGGAGACAAAAATCCACACAGGAAAGCTGTAAGAAGTATCTCATCACAGGAAAACTAAAGAAAACTCACAATCACCAAAGCGCCTAAATTTGTGGGAAACAAGGCCTCATCTGCGTCAATGCTTATGGCAACACTTAATTAAATGTACGCTATTACGTAGCGGTAAGGTAGACAAGCGCATACGTCAGTCAGCCCACGGTACTTCAGAAAGTAGCACTTGAGGGCTGCCGAGGTGCTAACAGCTTAGCTCTCTAAACCTGCACAGACCCAGTTCTGCGCATTTTGGATACAAAGGCTGGTTAAAAAGGCCTGGCCTGCTAAGCGTAAACAGCCCGACAGAGAGCCGCAGTTCAGAGGGGATGCTGCATCAGCTCTGCATCCTGCTAGATCACAGAGGTTTAAAATAAGCACACTGTCCTTGTCTAAACTGGTAACAGAAACGCAGGCAGAATCTCCAAAATATGTAGTAACACGAGTCACAAAATTCATGAGGAGGATTAGGCAGCTATGGACGACTGCATTTTGACGTGTGCTATCTGCCTCTGGCCTTTCACCACTGAACAGCGTCCTCACGCCGTACCTAAGCACTGCCAGGACAGGGTGATGCAAAGATGGGACCACTGCGATTCCAGACAGCAAGTTCTTACCTCTGACCATTGGACACGATCTTGCATCACACTATTCAGAGAAAACAAATGCAATAACAGAGGCTGTGAAAAGCTGGAGCTTCCCAAGACTGGAGTTGGCAGGGCTTATCTGGTGTCTTGAAGATAAATGGGAAGAAATAAGGAAGATTGACACCTCAGCTTGGGTTTTATTGTATGATATTGAACTATCTGCTATAAGGAGGGTTATACAAGCAACTTGTGAAGTATAGCGACTAACTCCACCTTCCAAAAAAAAAAAACAAAAGAAATGGGTAGGAACAGGAAGAGGCATGGCACTTCACAAGAGAACAGCAATGACAGAGCGCCAGGGAAGCACAGAAGAAAATGTAGAAACAAAATTGACAAAAATGGATAAAAATGGACATCTTGGTATGTAAACAGGGCTATGGTCAGGTCAGTCAGGTAAATATGACTGAAGCCACAATTTATTTTTTTTGGATGTATGAAATAGTGCATGAATGTATGCACTATTTTAATGTATTAAATAGAGTCTCTGAGTAAATATATACGAAAGAAAAGCACATGGAAGAAAATAAAAGCCATAGCCATTCAGTGGACAAAACCAACAGTAGATTATTTCAAATAAAAACCTAATTAAGACAGTTTTGGGGGGGGAAAAAAGGAAATCTAGCAAGAATGCACTTGATTTCAGCAGTATTCATCAAACCACAAAACAAGAACAATGAAGTAGAATGAATAGAGTAAGTGTCTGGCAAATACTTGCTTTTCTCCATTTTTCAAAACAAAGAAACCAAACAAAAGAAAACACAAATTTTCTACGAACTCTTATAATAACCTTAAAGGGCACGATTTTGCTGTTTAAAGAACTCTGTTCTTCATTAAGTAGCCAATGTTACCCCCAAAATGATCACTCTAATTGCACTGATTTTTCCTTGGTATCACACTTACATTGATCCAAACAATTTTCTGATATTAGTTGAGAGAACAAAATCAGTATCTGACTTGTTACCCCGATGATTATTTGCATGCTGGTTTGAAAAGACTTTAGTGGCTTTATTCTGAGAAGACAAAAGGCATATGTAACAGTCACACCCACTAAACGCACAGTAAAGTGGTATGTGAACAAAGATAACATCATACACAAACACATTAACCATGTGTTGAAGTGTTTCTTGACAACCTCGAACTTAAATGAAAATAAAGTGTTCGTTACAAATATTTAGACTTGGGAGATCACCAGACTAATCTGATGCATTTAAAAGCTGGAACAACAAGGTATATTCTTCAACGCGACTGAGTCACAAAAATCCCAGGGGTAACACAATGGATTACTAAATCATGCAACAGCTGATGCTTGTTTAATATCAGGATTTCACAAAATAGAAGAGAGGGACAATACAGAGTTTCACTTTTGCCTATAGGCAAGAGTGGCTGCTTCGCAAGGTATACTAGTATTGGACAGTATCATCCAACATTATCATCAAATTGTAAGTAACATACCAAATTACAGTTGTGACACAGAATAAAATTACACATTTGGCAACTTTTTGAAGCCTCATAAATTCTGTCTTGCTTTTTCCAGAATACAGCATATGGTTGTGTAAAAAATCCTGGACATGCAAAATACACTACTCCAATGCTTAAAGAACACATGTAAGGAAAGCACAAATAAAACACAGCAAAGCATCTTTATTAAGAATCTGGGGGTTTACTAAGAATCTGGGCATTTATTCCCCTAACACATTTAAAAAAATATATTTTTTTAATGCTGAAAACTGGAATGGAAAATAAAAAGCCAAAATATAAAATCCTTTAAAACATAAACTATAATTACTCTGAAAATAATTTGGCCCATTCTGAATGAACTGTATTCTTTAGCTAAAGATGTAACGCAGTAAAAACTTCAGCACAATTCCAACCATTGTTGCACTACCCGTTTGGGTAGTAATCAGCTCTGGAACAAAAATAATTTCACTCCCAAAATGTAACTGATTTCTAATTAGATTTTGGAACTGGAGACAGACCTACTGAAGTCTCTAATCACTCTGTTTAAATTATAAGAAAATCAGGCAAATACATTAACTGGTTCGACTTCTCACCACAACAGATAAGGAGCACGCAAAAGTTAGGAAGAGCCCAAAGGCAGTATAAGGCATGGCCAACACCTTTCAGCTCCTGCCTACTGATATTAGTAAGCTTTTTCCAGCCCAAACTGTAGAGGATAGCCCTCAAGTGGAGTAAGAGGTGGCTCTTCTATAGCCCTCTGCTCAGAGAGGGCTCACAGGTACACAGAAGAAACAACAGATGACTTAAGTGGTCTGTGAGTTAGTCTTTAAGCTCACGTGACCAAGAAGCAGTAGCCCAGCACTCTGCACAGCAGAAGAAAAAGGAATACAGACAGGAAAAATGAACAAGCAGGCCTGTCCAAGCACGCAGACACAAACTCAAAACCCCAGAGTCACAGTGAACAAAGCTGTCTCATTATACTTCTCCCATCACTCAGTTCCAGGACATTCACCAACCAAAATATATAAAATACTTCATATTCGTGGAACTGTAGAATTAGAAAAATATTTGACATTTCAAACTACCACAAAAGTTGCTTTAATAAGTTACATGTCAGATGTTTCCCTTTCCACAGCAGAAAACAAAAAAATCAACAACCAAAATGGCTAAAAGCTGAAACAAAATGTCGTGGATCTGCTTTGCACAGACAGGCCTGCTGTCTTTGCTAAAGAGCAAATCTGTTGACATTGAATATCTTAACACAGTGATCAGCTCCACAACTTGCAAGCTGCAACCACTCGCTGCTGTTCTGATCATTATGTCCAGCTCTGCCCGCGTGATGTCTCCAACATAAACGTTTCACAGCAAGAGCATGGCTTTGGCTGCAACAAAAAGAAATCCATACGTAACTGCAAAATGTCAAACACAGTTGGGCATGTGAGTATAGACATCAAAATTTATATAATTAGTACTCTTTTTCTAACACTACCAACTGAGGAAGAACTGACTTGTGACAACCAGCAGGTATTAAGTTCTTAAAAAAGTAGGGCCATTAACTCTAATGACATTTTATCCTCTCAGTCATCAATAATTTAAACAGCTATTGATTTCAAGTTTTACCACATTAAGCTGCGAGCCTAGCATCTCAATTACTGAGATACGTCAGATTTCTGGCTTTTAGCCTGGAATTTCCTGTTATCTGGTGTCTCTTTCCAATCCACTTCGAGCACAGACATGCCAAAGCCACCATCAACTTTCATTTCTCGTACTACGAGTGCCAGTATGTGACGGAAGAATCTAGGAGAGTGCTCCAAGTGAAATATTCAAAGTCTCTCTACAGAGAGTTTCCCTAGCTGTCACCACAGCAGCACACAAATAGCTCGTCACTTCTTCGGTTTCTGCGAGAAGCTGCTCTTGAAAACTTGCTGTCACATACTCCAAAATGTTTTGCTGATATATATATACAGATAGTGATTCTTTTCTCCCCTCTTCAGTGTTTCTATCACCTTATCTTATGGCTAAAGGTAATAAATTGGGTTTTGGGGGGTTTGTTTTTCATTTTCAGCGGGGTTTTGTGTTCTGTTTTGTTTAAAAGGGGCCAACAAAGGGTAATACTTCTGAAAGTATTTGCATAGCATGAAGTATTTTGGGGTTTAACATCCCCCCCCCCCTTGATTTTCATTCGGGTTTGTTGTTTTGGGTTTTTTTTAAATAAATCTAAAGAGCCAATATTCTTATTTCCAGGTTTTGCTTAAAGACTTCTTTAGACTTTCAGGGATCAACCTTATCCTAAAATGATAATGATTTTTGATATACAAATAAACCAGTTTCATGTCATTTTATACTGTAAGAACAGAACTCTAGCACTATTAGTCTCAAGAATAACACTTTCTTGCTCCAAACTTACTTCAAAAGCCATACCTGTTTTCCATCTCCACACAGGTGGTCCAGTCAGCTAGTGCTGGTTCTTGCCCACTCTGCTTCCACGTGTACAAGATAATCTTCCCATTCTCTAAACCTGCTGCAACAATATACCTATCAAGAGAATAACTGCATTAGTTCTGAAGTGATTACAGTAGGCAGCTCATTGAAGCTGGCTCTATCACAAGCTAGAAAGAACCAGCACTCAAACACTGTGTTGTACCTTGCCCTTCGAATCAATATTTATTTTTCCATGGGGAAGGAAAAAAAAAAAAATAAAAAAAATCACAATTTAAATCAAAGCTTCTTCATAAAAAAATGAGCAAACCAGAAATGTGCAAAATATATTTGTTTTTTTTTTCTTTTTTCTTGTTATGAAGTTTGGAGAAGTCACCATACACCTGATAAGAAGGCTAGGAAAGATAAAGGTAGAGTTCGCGCAGTCACAGAATGGTCAAAATATTTCACAGGTAGATTTAGGACCTGTTTAGCCACAGAAAGCTGACTAAACGGGAAAAAAATACTTCTTTCAAATTAAACACAAAATGGCATTACAGAAAAAGAGCAATACCTTCCATCAGGGGTAAGCACAAAGCTAACACTAACAGCAGTAACAGAATCCCCGGCATCCAGTACTGTTGAACAAGGCTTGATCGAATCCAGCACATTGCCTTCAGTAGTCACAGATAAATTGCATCGGCCCCAGATAATGACCTGTAAGAAAGAGAATCATCTAGGAATTATCACTTTAATCTTTTTGTAAATGTATTTACAAAAACATAAGGAATAACTTAGTTAAAACACTTCCAGGGCACAGAACAAAGTGGATGACCCCAAAAACAGTAAAAAAAGTCTACCTACAAAGATTCAACTTTTTAGACAGTCTGTCTGATTTCAGTAAAACAGATTCTCTTATGAAACTTAAAGAAAAATTTAGAGACCCCTAAGAGTTATGATATATGCTTGTCTTACTGCATGAAAAAAGAACGGAGGAAGTCCAACTGGCAGACCACTGTCTTGTACATACATATTCAAGCAGTTTAATTAGCATATGAAAGTCTCACTGATTTCTGTAGTAATACATACAATAAGTTTTTTGTGTATTTATAGAATATGGGCTCCTTAGAACACAGCATTTCCTAATCTAAGATACATTTTAAAAAATTCTGGGCTTTTTATATTCCTTTTATATTAATTACCTTTTTGTCCCGACTGCCAGTAATAAAATACTTGCTATCTGGTGTCCAATCACAAGACCAAATGATTCGACTGTGAACAGCTGTATTTTTGTCTGTGTATGCACAGCAACTGAAAACTGGTCCTGCAATAAAACATATAGAGGAAAACCCTCGCTTCAACTACTTTATATATTAAAAGTAATTGTTACAGTTACTTAACTGTGTAAGAACTGCAGGACTACTTGGACATTATTCCATGTCTTTAAAGCAATTAGAAATTCTTAGCATCACATAAATATTTTTTTCCAGCACTTATCACAATGATAATTAGCATCTGTTCAGACCGTATCAGTCAGCCCTTACAGCACTAAAACAGTACGAACAGTTTGATCTCTTACACACATCTGTTTCAGCAGAATTTAAGTACAGGACCTTCAGCTTCTTTCTATACAAGTTTTTCATAAGAACACTGAGACTTCAAAAGTTTTAGTATAGTGCAACGTTTACCATGTGTACACGTATGCCCAATAATTTCACTACAGTTCCTATTTACCAGTAAAGCTTCAAAAGCTCAAATCATAACAATCTCATTTTAAAGATTAACCTGTTCCCAAAGAGACAGGCTGCCATTTCAATATGCATTGAATCAGGCAATAAATTTGATCAGCAGATCAGTAAATAGGAACGCTTTTCCTAAGTAGAAAAGACTGTCATTTTGGAGCACAGACTTGGAATAACCACTTCTTGGGATGCCAATATCAGCAGTTTTGCTTTACACTGATAATGATGTTCTTTGTAGACAGAAAAGTTATTGATGAACAGATGAAAAGATGATTTCCTCTACTTCCTATGAGAATTCATCCTTCTTATCCTGAAACATTGTGTAACTACCGTGGACAATATGCCAGGCTTTAGAACAGAAGTCTGAATAGAACAGAAATCTATAGCCAGGATACAACCAGACACTGTCTGAAGCGGCCAAAACTCACTGCCAAGTCTCTAGGAAAACTCTATACAGCTCAATAGTGTTTATGTGCTATTAAGCCAACAGTGCAATGACAATCGTTTTCAGTACAAGCATCTGTTCTAGGAATCCATTAAAGTGTTCAATAGCAATCTCCTCGTGATTTTGCAAGGCTCAAAGTCTTAATGAGAAAGTCACCTGCATCCTTACTATCAGCTCTTTTTCCAGACACAGCCCATCCTAGTGAAACTAATCAATTGTGCAGGATTATCAGAAAGCCACACCAAAGACAGAGATTAATCCTGTCAAGAGTCTCAGAGTGTCATGCCCTGCAAACAGGGACAAGGCAGCTTTATGTAGAACACAGGTGTAGCAATGAACCTTCCAGCCTTGCCTCCACAGAACACCAAGATGAAGGTCTTCTTTGACAGAATACCAGTTTGATATTCAGGCATTACAGTCCAGCATGTATACTTGATTTCAGTAAATCTGAAACATACAATCACAAGCAGAAGGCAGGAGGACGAATAGCAGGCTTCGTTACATCCAGCAATTAGACAGCCTTTAAGGCCTGATTATACTCTTCTCCACATTGTAATTCCCTTCCTAGCTTTCCTATGCACCATTAACCACACTTCTTAAAGCCACAGAAGTCTACAGCTCTACTAATTCTTAAAAGTGGTAAGGAAAATGTCCATTAAAATACCTTACCAATTCTCTTTCAAATATTTTGAAGCCAAAAATATTGAACAAACTGTGAAGTCTTCAAAGGTGTATACGCACTTCACATATCTTACCTGACTCTGATGAGTCTTGTTTCCTCCACAGTGACCAACTCCTGTCTCTAGAAACCGCTAATAAAAATTTGTCATTAGGAGAAAATGCCAGCTGAGTAACAGTCAGATTGTGAAATGACAAACTCTGCAGTTTCTTCCAGGAAGTAGTGCTCCACAAAATAATTGCTGCATGTTCTTTTTTGGAAGCCTGTATTGATGGAAAAAATATCATCGAGAA